GTACAGATAACCAAAGTTTCTACTTAATTACAGTAACAAAGTATTTGTACTTAGTTACTTTACAACTCTGCTACTAATTTTATATTTTTTACAACACTTTTACTATCTGGGTGCTGATTTCATTTTGTGGCGGCTACGTTTAGCTTATTTTTTGCAAATTTTAGCTTTTTTTCTCATATATTAGCTATAGTTCTACTTCTTTCTGCTGTTCTGCTTTTTTCTACTTTTTTCTTCTACTTTGTGCTATTTGTAGATGCTTTCTGCTATATTCATCTATTTGCTGCAATTTTAGCTAATATTCAGCTGTTATTTGAGTTTTAACCTAAAGACATTTTTGTAGCTATTACAACATTTTTTGCTAAGTTCAGCAACCTTGTGCTCGCTATGCTAATTAAAGAACTTCCAGCTACTTTTTAGCTGTTTTACTGAAAATGTTTGCTGTTTTAGCTACTTAACTGCTACAAATTGTCCTTTTTTTGTACTTTTATGCATTTTTTTTTACTGTTAATTTTTTTTTTACAACACTTTCACTATTTGGGTGCTAATTTCAACCTGTGGCTGCTACATTTAGCTTATTTTATGCTAATTTTAACTATTTTTTTGCTGTTTTAACTATAGATCTGTTTCTTTTTGCTATTCTTTTGCTTTTTTTCTACTGTTTGTGTGTTTTTTCTGCATATTTATTCCATTTATGCATCTTACAGATGTTTTCTTCTATATTCAGCTATTTTAGCTTTTAGCTGTCTTCTGCTTTTTCAACTATATTTTTGCACCTTTTTACTGTTTTTCTGCAAAGTTAGGCTTCTTTTGCTTTTTTCAACTTTTCAAATTTGGATTCTCTTTAACATTTTCTCTATTAAATACTTTCAAGAAGCATTGACACTAGCATTTTCACAGGAAATGCAATTTCTCTAGTTTATTGAGTTTTTTAATATATTATTATTTACAAATCTGTGTTGATAACTCAACAAACATTCTTCTTGTCTTAGGAGTGGACTAAAAAATGAATAAAAAAGCAGCTAATATCTAATAAAGACTGCTTTCCTACAGGTTTTTGTTTCCAGAGTTGCCAGAAGATGGCGGCATCATCCCAGAACCCCCTCACTCCCCCTCATCTGAAACCAGACGGAACTCCACCAGACAGGAACACGGGTCTGTGTCGACACGGGCTTTTATTTTGTTAAATAAAACCTACAGTAGTTCAAACCTTCTCCTCCTTTCCCTCCTTCAGTGTTGTGGTGGTGAGCTACTCCTCTCTGATCCACCCTGTGCTGCTCCCTCGCCTCTACCCTCCTCTCTTCACCCTCTACTGCCTGCAGAAGGAGCAGGAGGAGGCGCAGTACTGGGAGCACATCCTGCGACTCAACAAGCAGCCCGACCAATCGCTGCTCAGCTTCCTGGGAGTGCAGGAGTGAGTGGACACAAAAATAAGTGTTTGTTTTTAATTATTAATGTTTTTGCTTTTTATATAAAACAATTATGTTTTAGAAAATGATTATATATATATATA